GTGTGTGCTTTGGTGGAGCGCTGGTCTTGCCCGTGGTGGAAGTGCGCGCCGACGGATCGCTGAAGGCTCTGAAGGCGCAGGATCGTGCTCTACCTTGCGTGGCGAAGGGCCGCACAGCCAACCCCCGAGGTGTCGCACTCTTCGAAAAGGTCGCTGCTGTGCACGGGTCGCCCGTCGACTTGTCCGTCGGCGTGGTGAGGCTCAAAGTGCTGTAGATGCACGTGGCGGAGAGCGCGGCGGCCAGTGGTGGCAACGTCGACCGCGACATCGGTAGGCCTGGCTGGCGGGCGGAGGGCGCCGACGCGGGCCTTCCCGTGCCCATGGCGATTGTGGATCGCAGAGGGGGCTTGGCTTGGCTTCGTGGCGAGGCCCGTCTAGTCATGAGTGAGGCTTGGATCAAGGGCGAGGTCGACTATCAGGGCGGCTGGGTCTCGAACGGGGCCTTGGACCGCTGTCCTCGGGCCACGGGCCGCCGCTGACCCTGGTCAGTGTTTGTTTTGTCCTTGGCTACGAGTGCCCAGTGATCCCTGATGGACGCGTTGGCTTGGCAACGACGTGCACTTCTCGCGCGTCCGAAATGGTGTCGCGCCGCAACGAGCCCTGGTGCGCGTCGAGCCCTGAGAGACTAAGCGGCCACCGTCTCTAGCCAAGAGCAGCCATGCGACGAGGGATGGGCTGCGTCTTCTGGGGGGTCCTCGGCTTCTCCCCGCGGGAGCCCCCAGGACAAGGAGCAGGATCCTTTGCTCGGTGGAGATGACGGCGGCGAGTTGTATTTGTTCCTCGGGGGGGGGCCTGTCTCGGCCCTTAGCTGGTCTTTGGCCTTCCAGCCAGGGTGACAAAAAAAGGTCCTCTCGGATGGGCCCCCTTGAGGGTGCTTGGCAGGGCCGTCGGACTTTCTACTCTTTTCTTTCTCCCCCAGTGGCGTACGATCCTCCTCCTCCTCCTCCTCCTCCTCCTCCTCCTCCTCCTCCCCCTCCTCCTCCTCCTCCTCCTCCTCCTCCTCCTCCTCCTCCTCCTCCTCCTCTTCCTCTATGTTTCGGCCGCTGTCCGTCGGTTCTTGTGCCCTCACCCCTCCCTCTTGGCGTATGGCCAGGGCTCGTGGCCCTCATTTTGGGCCCTCGGTCGTTGATGCACCTCCTCTCCCCGCTCTTACGCCGAGCCCGGGCCTAAGGACGCAGCCGCCCCTTGACGCTTGACCCCTGTTCTTCCTCCTCCTCCTCCTCCTCCTCCTCCTCCTCCGTCCTATCCCTCCCTGCAGCCCCACCGAGGGCCAGAAGCGGCAACGCAAGAGGCCCCCCCGTCATCTTGCTCCCCCCCCGTTTCTGCCCCCGTTCCTCATCCCCCAGTCTCCGCGCCCTGGATGTTATGACGCCCGCTCTTCCCCTTTCCTGGGCATCGCCAAACCTGGGACCCAGACCACGCGCCACGCGCATGACTGCAGATGGATCCCCCGCGGTCGACGAAGACGTCTTCCCCTTTTCCTCCTTCCTCCGCCCTTCGCCCCTTTCGGATGCAGGGCAATCCCTTGGAGGTTGCATTCAGCATCGGCGCTGGTTTATCCGCGGCCGAACGCCAGCCAAATCGAATTAACACCCGTTCGTGTCCCCGCAATCCGGCAGCATAATTCGTAGAAGGTCGTGGTCTCGTTACAGGCTTAGTCGTGGCTAGATTCCCTAGACCGGCCCAATGCCTCCTTAGTCAGACTTATTAGTTTATTGACATGTTTATGCACATTTCGCAGAAGATTGCCTCCGAATGTTTCCATTTCTCCCTCTGCCTTTTTTCTTTCGTCCCGTTCTGTAGCGATTTGCATCGAGCCCGTTTGTGGAGGAAGTCGTGCACGGGAAAACGGAAAAGGTGTGGGACGCTAAGCGCAGGAAAGGAGGCGTTTCTTTTCTGGAGGTGTTTCGATCACAGTTTTACTCGAAGGAGGAACAACAATGGAGGGGGAATTCGTGTCGCAGGCCAGTTTCACAAGCCTCCGGGGCCAAACGAACAACCAAGGGATTGGCAGGGGCGTCCGCCCCGTGCATTTTGACTAGTCTTGGCAGCCCTTACTCCCCTCTTCCTTCTCCTCCTCCTCCTCCTCCTCCTCCTCCTCTCCCCTCCTCCTCCCCTCCTCCTCCTCCTCCTCCTCCTCCTCCTCCTCCTCCTCCTCCTCCTCCTCCTCCTCCTCCTCCTCCCTCTCCTCCTCCTCCTCCTCCTCCTTCCTCCTCCTCCTCCTCCTCCCTCCCTCCTCCTCCTCCTCCTCCTCCTCCTCCTCTCCTCCTCCTCTTCCTCCTCCTCCTCCTCCTCCTCCTCCTCCTCCTCCTCCTCCTCCTCCTCCTCCTCCTCCTCCCCCTCCCTCCGCGCCCCTCCTTAACTGCGTTGCTCTCCCCTCTCCAGGGGGAACCAACATGGACCAATGCCGCCACTCCCCGGACCCCTCCTGGGGTGCGTTCTGACCGGAATTCCGCGGCGCATCCAGCCGAGGCGACGACGGCCTCCGAAGAGGCCGCAAGAGGGAAGAATTGGCGAAGGGCAGCGGTATCGGTACCGCTTCCTCCTTTTAACATCCTTCCTTCCCCCCATCTATTCCCCCCCCCGCTCCCCCCGCTCCCGTGCACCATGCCGACCGCCCCGCCTGCTCCCGCTACAGTGAGCGGTCGAATAAGGAACGCTTGCTTTTCAAAAGGGGCTCGGTCGTTCCTGAGGCTTGCATGCGTTATGTTTATCGTTCCTTATGCGTTCTGTATTATTCATTGCTCCTTATGCGCTATTCCTTGGGATAAAGAAGGGGCTTCGTTCCTTATGTATCGTTCCTTAGGTCAGGCCGATGACTGTATCGGCCGGCGGCGGGGGAGGGGCGGGGGGCGCCGCGCGCGCGCGCGCGGAGGCGCCGCGGGTGCCCCCGCGCGTGAAGCTGCGCCCGGGCCGCGAGGCGGCGCGCCAGGGGAGGCGAAGGGAGGACGGATGGCCGCAGACAGAAGTGCGCGCTGATCGGTATGACCATGGGCCCCATCCTCCTCCTCCTCCTCCTCCTCCTCCTCCTCCTCCTCTCTCCTCCTCCTCCTCCTCCTCCTCCTCCTCCTCCTCCTCCTCCTCCTCCTCCTCCTCCCCCCCCATCCCCCTCCTACCTCTCGACACCCACGGCGGGCGTTTTCGCTCACGCTCCCGCCCCGGGGCCCTCACCTTCCCGCCCCAGGACCCACGCAGAGAGGTGGGGCCAAAAGCTCCAGGCGCGGTCTGTTTCACGAGGTTGCAGTGTGCTCTCAGCAGCTCCGAGCTCAGGGGGCGCTACGTGACGTTCCAGAACAGTGGCCTCGCCGGCGGAGGGTGGCCGAAGGGGAGCGGGGGCGGCTCCGCCGGCGGAGGCCGGCGGAGGTGAAAGCCGCGCCCCCAAGAGGCGGCAGCACTTGTGGGCCCAGGGTTTCACGGAGTCGGCCACACGGTGGCACATGGGGAAAGGAGGAGAAGAGAACCCACGCCAACGCGGACAACGACAGCAAGGCGGCCGGCGAAAACGCTGGGAAGACGACTTCGTCAAGTTCCTCCAACAAAACAACCCCGACCAGCATCCAACGCCCACACCGACTACAAAAGGCCAACCCAACGATTTCACTTGGATTCGCACAGCCCAAGACACAACCACCTGGTCGACACTCGAACGGCAATACGCACACCCCACGTTAACGACACTACGCCCACATCCACATCCAGGACTTCCCTCCTCCCCTAGGGCCATCTGGAAATGTTCAACAATACAGTGGAGGCCCATGCCAAAAGACACCCTGCTTGCCTCCCAAGTCCCCTGGGCTTCTTGGGCTCCGATGGCTTTGCGCAGGGGGGCGTGCTCCCACGCCAGAAAGTCGAGGGACGCCCTGTGGGTCTCAAGGTTGGGTGCCTGGTGGAAGGTTTCTTGTGCTCGGGCCCCTGTTGTATATGGAGTCCTGGCGCTTCTGTTAAGTCGGGCCTGCCCCTCTGCAGGAGGAAGAGTCAAACATAGTCAAACAAAATAGTAGGTGGACGTTTTGTTGAGTATTCGTTGTTTTCAGTGTACTGGTTGGACGATTGGTTTGGGTGCATTTTAGTGAACGGTTGTTATTGAGTCTTATTTAAGTTGCTGTTTGAATATTGGACGGGTGTGTGATTGTTTTGTAGTGTTTTCTTTGATTTTTCGCCGAGGCTCCGCCTGTAGGGGGACATGCCCGATCTAACACTTGCGTCGAGTTGGCGGTGCCTCCTTGGGCGCCTTCGGGGGGAGACGGACGGGGGGAGGGCCCAGGGCCCCCTCGCGTCGTGGCGCCAGAGACGGACATGCCACGACGGCTGCTGCTGCTGCTGCCGCATGCGGCCGCGGGGTGCCCTCGCCAGGCAGGCAACCAATGAAGCAAGCACGCAAGCAAGCGAGCAGCAATTGAGCAGGCATAGACATAGCCATCGCAATTCTTAGGGGGGGGGTAGGAATTCGCTGGGTTTCAGCTAGGACTCCGATAGAGCAAGCCGATTTGGAGAATAGATCAGTGAGTAATGCCTCAGGAATCCGTCAGGACCCCCTGTGGGCTCCAGGGCCCCCTGAGGAATCTTCCATAAGCCCCGCGCGAAACCGAGGCCCCCCCGTGAAATGTTCGGCAATCCTTGCAGGAATCCCCCTTGGACTCCGCCGGGGCCCCCTAGGGACCCCGCAGGCAACGCAAGGGCCACCAGGAGGAGGGGAACGAAGAGGAAGAGGAGGAGGAGGAGAAGGATAAGGAGGAGGAGGAGGAGGAGGAGGAGGAGGAGAAGGATAAGGAGGGGGGGGAGAGGACAGGAGGAGGAGGACGCGACGGCGCGTGCGGATGAGGTGGGCTCGAGAGTCCGAGGCTCGCTCCTGGGCCCTTGGGCATGCGTTCGGCGGACGCCGCCCGAGCCTTGGAGGAGACGCCGTTGGAGTGCGTCGGCTCGCCCGCGGTCGCAGATGCGAAGTGGCGCAGACTGATCTGTAAGAACGGTTTTTTGAAGGCAGATCTGCCTTCACTCTGTAAGAACGGTTTTTTGAAGGCAGATCTGCCTTCTGGTCTACTCTGTAAGAACGGTTTTTTGAAGGCAGATCTGCCTTCAAAAAATTGGTCTACTCTGTAAGAACGGTTTTTTGAAGGCAGATCTGCCTTCAAAAAACCGTTCTTACAGAGTAGACCAGTCTTTCCTCCTTGCAGGTTGAAGAAGTTGCGGTTCCACATGGCCCCGGCAGGGGAAA